ATGGAATGCCTCGTTTCCAGTTAAAAGGGTTTCCGGTTATCTGCACTCACCATACGAAACACAGCAGCGTTAAGCTGGTATTTTACGCTGGTATTCTGTGAGAGCGTGGTGCTACCCTAGTCGAGCCGACCCATTCGTGCTACAATATAACTGCAGTATGGCTCTACCACGTAGAAAATTAATTTATTAACATTTAAACTACCTTATTTTTAATAGTGCAATTTTTTATATTTATTATGGGCAGTAATTAGCAATGTGAGATCGAATAAATTAGTGAGTGACACTTTTTTGTTCTCGAAGTATTTTTTATTTCTATTAACTAGTGAGTCGCTCCCTATTAGATTCAACTCCTGTAAAAGCCAATTTTTAGTTAAGATAACTTATCGATTTTATTTTCAGGTTAAAAAGCGTTTGTGCCCACGTTACTAACAATTTGTCCGAATTTATCTTCGAACTTTTGTAGACATTATTGGATGCGGGCAATTTTTGATGACGTTGAAGTCGAATCGACGATAATTGCGTATGAGTGTGCATTTTTTCGGAGTATATTTCTAAACATAATAGAATTAATCAAAACTAGAAATTGACCAGATATATACATACACATCGAGTACGGTCGCTCAGCGAGCTATGGAGAGGGCTATGCTCGGAGTTTCTCTGCGTGATAGACTCAGAAATGAGGATATCCGCAGTAAAACTAGAGTGACCGACATAGCACAACGGATTAGTAAGCTGAAGTGGCAATGGGCCGGCCATATAGTTCGAAGAACCGATAACCGATGGGGAAGAAAGGTTCTCGAGTGCCAGCCTCGTACCGGTAGGCGTAGTGTAGGGCGACCCCCACTAGATGGAGTGATGACCTGGTAAGATATGCAGGAAGTCGATGGATGCAGGTGGCTCAGGACCGTGCTTTGTGGCATTACTTGGGGGAGGCCTATGTTCAGCAGTGGACTTGTGAAGGGCTGTAACGATGATGACGATGATGATACATACACATAATATAAATAATATAACATTAATTTTAATGTTATTACAAACACCATCGCTCATACATTAAAATGCATTCTGTCTTTTAAGAATCGGTTAGATAATTGTTGTCTAGACTGTGCAGAACGAAAACGAGGCCATCTCGACCTTGACGTCGGTCGCTCTACCGCGAAACTGGAATGCTTTTTTTGATAATAATAACAGTAACATACAAGTGTACATACAACCGATATTTGTATAGTTTTGCGGTTTAACAATTTAAGTTTTGTCCGGACGGATCTCTGTACCGATCATGTCTCTAAATTGACAGATATAAACAATCACATACTACTATCACATGAGTAAAGAAACCCTACAGAGAAGCAAAGCTTATATAAGGAGCTTTCAATTTTTTTACCTATTTAGTAGGATTGACAGAGAAGGATATAAAGAAAACGTTTACTAATGTTTTATTATGTACCTGTGATAAAATATTTTTTTTTGCATACTGCTTACTCTAAAATATTTCGTTTTCATATGTTTTTGTTTTGAATAATTTGTTGTGCCTTTTAGTTGAATGGTACATTTTAATGTAATAATATATATAGTTTCTTCTTTAAATGAAGTTTCAGCCCATATACGTCCCCACTCCTGGGCACAGGCCTCCGCTTATTCCTGAGAGGGTTTTAGGGCAAGGAGTTGTTCGCCGCGCTGCCCCAATGCGTCTTGGTGAGCTTTACATGTTTCCTAAAGATGTTTTCCGACAGCGCTAAGCAAATGGTAAATGAGCACTTAAAATTGCAATTAACAATTTCATTGGTGCCGGCGGGGTCGAACCTGGTTTGCTCGCGTACTGTGAAATTTACAGCGACTTAACCATCTCTACCACGGCTATCAATGACGTATTAGTCGTTACTTTGTCGATATTTACTTTAGTCAGCAGGGAGGGAAGCTCGTTCTATTCTCTCTCTCTCTCTCTCTCTCTCTCTCTCCTTCCACACACACCCAGCTAATACTAGATGGTATAGGACTCCGTTTCTGCCTAGGACCTCCTTTGTGTCAGTCAACCTTTAACTTATTTTTGACGCTAAGCAGCAGTGTGTGCATGCTGCGTTCCGGTGATAAGGGTAGAGAGTCAGAATAATTACTGTCTTTAAGTCTACTCTACCTTAGTCTGCAGCGTTGACAACGCATCTGTAGTTTCTATATCTGATGTTAATTTGCAGATGGCCATGGGCTGCAATTAGCCACTAACCATGAAGTAGATTGTAATGGCTGAATACTTAGCAGCAAGGAAAACAAAAGATCTAGCATAGATTGGAGTTACGTGGACAGGAGTTCTTAAGACCAAGCAATACAATGAGCACAATAATTAACAGTCATTCATGACCGAAAGTGAAAGTCGTTGTTCTTTAGCGAGGATTTTTCAAACATACATAAACACTCACGCCCGTCACCCAGAGGGGTAGGCAGAGGCTACGGACTTCCATTTGGCACGATCCTGACACACCTCTCTCGCCTCCTACACATCCATTCACCTACGCATACATGCTCGTCGGTTAAGGGTACTCCTAATTTGGCCCGTTTTCAATAAATCGCCAATTCGGTCGATAAATTTTTCGCTAGGACGTCCCTTCCCGACTCTGCCGTTCACTTCTGCCACATAAATTTGTTTTGTCACTCTTTCCTCATTCATTCTTTCCACATGACCAAACCACCGAAGCATTCCTTTCTTAACTTTCGAGGATTTTTGGTCTATCAAATCTGATTTAAGCGAGGCTATTTATTGAAATCAAAAAACATCTTTAAAACAATATTTTTTTTTAAGTTTAAAAGAAACAAACAAGTGACATTTTTTTTTGTTTCTTTTAACCTTTAGAGAATCTATCGCCCCATTTCGTCTCGTTGTTGTCATAGATGCAATTACGAGAAATTCAGAAAAAATCATATGGCGTCATAATAACACGTAAAATATTTAGACTGGAAATGGGAGCAGCGGAAAAGGAGTAAAGTTACAGCCTATATACGTCCCACTGCTGGGCACAGGCCTCCCCCTCATTTCTGAGAGGGTTTTTAGGGCAAGGAAGTGTCCGCCGCGTTGCCACAATGCGTGGGCGAACTTCACATGTCTTCGAAATATTTGTTTTTCTTATTCCTCGGACATGCGGGTTTCCTCACGATGTTTTCCTTCACCGCCGACCACGTGGTAAACCAGTTAACAATTTCATTGGTGCCGGCGGGGTCTAACCTGGTTTGCTCGCGTACCGTGAAATTTACAGCGACTTAACCATCTCTACCACGGCTATCAATGACGTATTAGTCGTTACTTTGTCGATATTTACTTTAGTCAGCAGGGAGGGAGGCGTTCGTTATTCTCTCTCTCTCTCTTTCTGTCACACACACCCAGCTAATACTAGATGGTAGGACTCCGTTTCTGCCTAGGACCTCGGCTACCACGGCTCACGTAAAAGGAGTGACGTGTGGTATTGCGCACGTCAATTCGCTTACCAAGCGTAGCATTACGGTAGACTCAAATTTTTGTTATTTATGAATACCTGGCAACGAGACATATAATTGATAAAAAAACACTTAAAAAGCCACTACAATTGGAAAACTGTGTCCAGCAGTGGACTTTTAGGTGTTGATGATGATAAAGAAATGGAAACAAGAACTGAACCGACTCCAATATGAATAAAATAAGAACATTATCAATGCAGTCGAAGTATTTAATAAGGTATTATTAAGGATAACTCAAAAACTAGTGGTCAGATCTTGATCAAATTTACATGGGACCGCATGAGAAGCACCAGTTTTCAAATAAAACAAAGAAACATCAAAACTGGTTTAGCTACTTAAAAGTTCTGAGGTAGTTCTCAATTAACGTTAACAATCCATTGGATTAGTTTATACTTCGAAATGCGAGTCGTTCACGTCCAGGAAACTTTCGGTCTTTCGCTGAAATTATTTGCAAGCGTCGGGTGTAAATTCTCACGCGTTCCGGTGCGATGTTCGTCGTAAGCCATAAAATTTACGAGCACCGATACAATATAGAATTTCGCAATTTTTGCGCGTTCGTAACAATAAATAATGAAACTGTTGAACACGACCCTGATGTAGCAGCGTAATACTTCAAGAATAATTTATCGGGTAACAATCTGGCATTAATTTTAAATTAGTCATTACGTTACATATCATTAGATATTCGCTATATTAGTATAAATAAGACGGTACAAATAATAAGATTAATCAAGGTTTATGCGGCTGTCGTCTTTTAAACCTTGGACAATATTTCCATGCCATTAAAATGCATAGACTTATTTAATTAAGGATTTTATATGAGTAGATCTATATTATACGAAACGAAGAACAGAACACGAAGAGAGCAATAGGGAGAATAAACCATACATTCCAAATTAATGTTAGTCGATTATAACAACGTAAAGTCTGTATGATGTGTGGACATAGTGTAGAGTTCAGTTAACGCGAGTCTGTAAATAACGAAAAGGCGGAGTGGGGACCGTCAGCGCTTGTGTTCTTGGTTCACCATTACAGCCTATAAAGTCCATTTTTGAACGTAAATCTCCCCTATAAGAGTGCCTCATAGAAGGGTATTTTGCCATAGTCACCGTTCGCTCGACGGGCGAGTTTGCAATTGTAATTTTTTTTTAATATTTTACGTTATTATCAGGAAGATGTTGCTGCCCATCTTTTGTTACTGTCTCCCTCTGTCGTCTCTCACGACACCCACGAGACGATATGGGGTAGTGGATATTCTCACACCGGCACTACACGGTTCCTCGTTGACACGGGCCACAAACTAAATATTTTAAGTTTCTTATTTCATTAAAACTGATACTGCATACGCCGCGCGCCCGTACCGCACCGCACTTTTAAATCGTACAGCAGTATAAATCCGCGGGAAAATTCCTTTATAATAATAAATTTTCAAATTTTTTAAAAGTTGGAATGCTTCAAAGACATCGCAATAGAACTAAGTTTAAGAAGTTAGTTATTGAAGTATGTAGGTCACTAACCTGCACGCAAGGCTTGCTTAGCGAGACGCAAAGGCCGTCCGCGTCCTTGCTGTAATGCTCCACGAGCTCCTGAAGCGTTCGGAAAGTGGTACGGCGGGCGATAAAGAATCCACCCTCGTCGAGCTGTCTGATGCGATAGTGTTTCACCGTGTCACCATCTCGCACTAGTGAAATAAATTAATTAACTATTAATAGATATAAAAATTTAAACTTCATCTTACGACAATCATTACATACATTACGTTATGAATTTAAAATTTTGCTATTTAACATAAAACCTTCATTTGGTAAAAATTATTAGTGTTTTAATTTAACGTATGTGTGTATGGTGTGAATTTTGGCAATGACATGACTGAAATGCGAAAACTGAATGCCGGTATGAAACTTAAGTCCCACAGCAATGAGACGATATGCTTGTACTCGATTGCTATATCAATGCCACGCACCGAGTTTGTCTATCGAAAACAAATACTATCGACATAGTTTCAAGTATAACAAGGCTCATAATAGGTTTAAAGGAAGGATATCTCTGTCACAGAGAAGATGGAAAAGGAATTAGCCACGTTTTACGTAGTAACCCTGAATGAAAAAGTAAAATCTGGTATTTGGTTACATCGTACTTTCATCTCATCATGATGGAAATCGAGTAAAGGAAAATTTTAGATGTATATACATTATACATTTAACATGTTTATCAGTAGACGTTACTATTTTAAGAAAAATGTTTAAGCAAATTAAAAATCAATTCTTACAACGATTTATTTGATATTGATAATTAGAACTGCACTTACAATAGTCAATAATATTGATTTTAAGGCTGACCTCACTAGATGGAGTGAAGATCTGATTAAGCACGTTAGTATAGGATACAAGGGTTCAGAACGGTACTTTGTGGCAATTTATGGAAGAAGCCTATGTTCAGCAGGGGGTTGTTATGGGCTTTAGTGATAGTGAGTAGTGATCAAGATTTATAACAGCATTAGGAAAATACTCGTGCTAGAAATAAAATACGAAACAAACTCTACACTTTATTAACTCTAACAACATGCAATAATTCATTGTAGTGAAAGCAGAGTTAATAACTCAATATAATTGGTAGAAACATTATTATAAATGATATCAGTTTCATCTATAAAACGAGTACCAACGCTTTTTCAAACTAAGAGCGTGTAAAGGGGGTTCCGTAGCCTTAACAAACATAGAATACTATAATACACAATAGAATGGTTGTCAACCTTATTTTGTACGACGATAGGCGTCGATAGACACATACAAGCAATTACGTAGTATTACCACTACTACCAACCCGATTCGCTGCGTCGACAGACAGATTTTAATACGTATTTATTTGTAAATAGCGTGCAATTTGGTATTTTCTAAATAATTTGCATGCGAAATTTGGAAACGATTTTAACGTCAAAATACATCTCGTGTTGACATTTATACGTGTGAATTGATGTGTTAGTGACATTTTAGTGGTTGCACGGGCTCCGCCCACTTTCCCGTTCTATTATGTATGTAATTATAGTATTCTATGTTATCAAACGTCGAGAGGCGAGAGGGATAGACCGATTTTAAAGTGAAGTGTATGATTTGAAGTAACTACTTGTATGTTAAAAAAACACGTTGTTACTGTTTTTCAGCTTAATTAATATCTGGACACCTTATGGAGAACTCCTTTTTATAGAATAAAGGAAAACGAAAAAGTCCAGATGGAAAGTGGATGTGGCAGAATCTGTTTATATATCTATATATATATATCTTCTATCTTATATATATATATATATATATATATATATAGTCTATATTTTTAGTCAGGGCGGGAGTCTACATTATTCTACTTTAACTACGTTCTTCAATGTAGAATATATCTCTAACGAATCAATTTTGTTACACGATTATTATCTCCTTTATTTATATAAAATTTGCTGTATAAAATACCTTAATAAAAATGACGACAAAGAGAAGAGTGCCTTTTGTAATTCTCTGCCAAGGCGAGTGTCAAGTCAGCAACGTTAAGTCAAATAAGAAATACAACAACGATATTACGTACTATATAATATAAAATAAAATACATTTATGTAGAGGTACAATAAAGAGAATATAATTCATAGGACATCGCAGACATGTAAAAAGGGTTGAACTTTTAAACAGTGGATTAAAAATGAAAGAACAGGGTTGTTGACAAATTCTTGAAAAGTGAAATATTATAAGCCATATAGTATATATTTACAACTTGACTACCGCGGGTGGGATAATTGTAATAATTATTATAATCGAGAGATAGATATATGCTTCCCTAGTCGTATTTGCAAGGTTGTGTAATTTTTTTAAGTATACCTATAATAATAGACTTCATAGGACCACACTAACAAGTAAAAAATGTAGAACGTTTTGGTTTAACAATAAATCGAAAATGAAAGGATAGGGTTGTTGAGAAGTCTTTCAAAGATGATGATAGTGCTGTAAAGGGTAGCGTTATTGAAAATACACTTGAAGCAGGAAAAGAGCTTTTTTCTACCTATAGAGCGTACGAGGGGGAAAGTTCAGCAAGATTCCACTAGGGTATTAACTCATATAAATTTATGTGAAAGAAAAAATGACAGACAAACAGATTATATTATAATTTTAATAATTATGGATAAGCATATTGTTATTCTTCATATTTTAATCGTATTTCTTAGGATTTGACGTGTGTTACGTCTCGTGCTTCTAATTCTAGTCCAGGAATTTTCCGAAATCTCGAAAATATCGGCATTTTTGCGCCAAAACTTAAAACAAGCTAGTAGAAATCACAACGTTATTTTTATTTAAGAAAACGTCATAATAATATTTCAATTCCTGCTTTAGATTATTTTATAATATATCTCCATAAGCCAATCGATGTTCCTAAAATAAAGATATTGTAATTGTATTATAACAAATACAGTGTAAGTTCTGTCTAATAATGGTAATTTAATGGAATATAGAAACGATGAGGATTAAAATTCATTAATTACTATAACTTACGTGAAAGATAACCAAGATAAATAAAAGTAATTATAATCGTTGGTGCCTCCGATAGTGATCGTGTTACTTCTAAACGACGACCGATCGAGATCAAATTCATATAATATAATCGACGGGGTAGAGTCAAACTGCAGATATAGTATTATGGTTGTAGTTTGAATGAGTCGGCTCGATCTTGAAAAGACCACGCTCTCACAGAATACCAACGTAAAATAGCAACTTAATGTGGGTGTGTCTCGTATGGTAGGTATAGAGAAATGAAAAACCTTTTTACTGGAAACGCGGCACTCCATCTTGATCCTTAGGGGTTACACGTCACCTGCATTTTATTGCATAATCGAGTATAGATGTAGATGTAGATGTGTCTATGGTCCATGGTATCTACTTACCATTAGGTGTACTGTGTTTGTTTGTGACACTTCTTCCTTAAAAAAAATAGTTTTGTCTATACCATATAGTTCCTAGCTATGCCTTTAGATGCCTTTATGCGTTAGGTGGCGTTGTAGTCAAGTTTATAATAAAATCTATACTTATTGACCAAAATAAATCATTTGTATGGTAAAAATGACTCATATGTTGGTTTAGTGCCAAAAAAGTGTATCACAAAATCTGGACCCGATAGTAATTTGTCTAGCGCTGTGGTCGAGTTACTTGTTACATAGCATTAAGTCTGTAATGCCCGGAGGTAGGCAGAGTCCAAAGAGCAGCGAGCTACTCGGACCACATATAGCCAAAAATATGGGTTTAGATGAAAATTGTGAAAGAAGTGACAGCTAGACCCTTTTTAGTGGAAACGAGACATCCCATCTTAGTCCTCACGGGTGACAATCTGCATTTTGATTCATAATCAAGGATAGACAGCAGCCACTTACCATCAGGTGCACTGTGTACTCATTTGTCATACTATCCTATAAACGAAAGGTAGCTAACCCATCTCTTACACAATCACAAACCCAATATCCTTATAGTTGCCTTTCACGCAAGGCAAGTAACACTGTTGGCACATTCTTGTTTGTTGTAAGTCCAACATAAACATTGGAATTATAAGTCCCAGACTAAATTCAACAAATTTTATATTTACATAGTAAAACTTCCTACGTGAAATCGGAGTAAGCCTCATCGCACCACCTACCGGAAAGGGCAGGACATCGACCGCCGAGTCAGCTAGTTAAAACATAAAACTATGATTTGATTTCTAGAACCCTTGCCATTATTTGTAATTGAAGTCTATAAACACTGATTTATTCATCATATAACCAGTTGTTGTAAATTAAATATTTATGCGATAGAAGTAAACGTAACATTTATTTAGGACTGACAACCGGATATGCATAAACAAATGGGCACCTGAAACAATAAGGACAATGCAAAGGCTTTGTGTGATTATTATAAATTACTGGAAATGCGCGTTTACTTACATTGTTTATTAAAAAAAAAGCATTAGCTTATGGATGCACGACTACGCAAAACTAACGATGAATATTATTTTTAATAAATGGTTTTATAATTTATAAAGTAATGAAGAATGTTGATACAGTTGGATTTCACAAAAGCTAGTAATTTAAAAGTAACATATATATGTATATGCAGCAATTTAGCCATCATTGAGTTTAGGAGTGGCTACCAAATAGCCCTTGCGTATAATCAACATTTGTGGGGCGTTTTATATTAGTAGTTACTCAAAGATAGATAGGGTTGCCAACTTTTATGTACCAAATATAGTATTTTCGAGACAATTTGCAATAAAAATATTGTAGATGGTTAAAAATTAATAATTATTTTTTGCTAATTTAAGCCTCTATTTACAGCCTCAAGCCACACTTAAAATATACTATTTTTTCCTTTATAGTAGGATACTATATTTTATAATAGGGGTGGCAACCCTACTCAAATGACAACGTACATATTTCTAGCCTCCTCTTGTGTGGAGTTAGTTGCAGCCGAAGGAGCAGTTGGACTTGCAGCTCATTTGTCATTCTAATGTTACTATTAAAGAAACTGAAGCGGCGATAATATAACTGTATTTATTATTAGGGTAAACTGGAGTGCTTAAAAAACTTTACTCCCATGTTAGGATTTTCTCCTGTATCGTGGAGGCAGTTTACAAACATAAATTGCACAAGGACAAACATCTAGACTCGGAACAACTATATCT